CGGCAGATATGCTGTTTTAACATATCTGATGCGATAAACCTGATTCCAATTTTGTGCACGTTCAATTTTATGGGATCATTTAGTACGAATAAAATAATTTTTTTAAACGACATGTATGCTTTCGAAATTGCGTTTTTTAGTACTTAAATTATACAATTTTATAATTAAATTAAATTAATTTTATAATAAAATTACGTTTTTATAATTCTGAATGGATCCAATTCGAGATCTAAAATTAAATTAACTATTATCGTTACAGTTTAAATATAATATTGCTTAAACACATTTTTGGAGGAGATAATAGATTCGATTAGATGAGAAGAGAAACAATAAATTACATTATAAAAATTACATAAAAGTTTCAAAATTTAGAACGCCATTGCACTATTTATTTACAGTTGTTTCAACAAAAATATTATATACAATAAAAATAATATCTGAAATCATAAGAACACGGATGTTCAATTCTATTAAAAAAAAAAATAATTAATTCTGTCCGATTTTATATGCTGTGCAATATCTCAACGTGTCTCTATAAAATATATTGTTGAACTATGTTTTGCATCATGCAGTGCATAACGTGTTGATGTGCTAAGTGAAACTTTGTATGCGGTTTGCAAATCAACAGCGTGCCGTTGGTTGGTGGTTCTTGTTCGTTCGAGTTGTCGAGAACTTGGCGATCACGTCCTCGATGTTCAAAGAATGTTTTATCTAGGATGACAGTTTGACAAATAAGGATATTGTTTATTGAAACGTCGAATATACGTATGTTGTTTCTAAGTTTGTTATTCTAGCTTTTAAAAATTTGACTTTACTAATATATATTAATAAAGTCAAATAAATTTATATAAATTTATTTCTCTACAATGTACTAATTTATCATGATACTAATATAATTATTTAAAATGACATTACAGTAGAAGTATGTTAGAAATGATAATTGTAATTTTAATACTTTGCACTTAATAGGTATGTATAAGTTCGTGAATTAGAATAATGTAGCGGATAATCTATGCTAAATATTTTATAATAATTTACGTTATGATTTAGTGGTATGTTGACGGAATATTCGATGCAGTAATTATAGACGTGTGATTTGACGCAATGTGATCATGCTTGTGGTGTGATTAACTGGTTAGCACGAAAATTACACGTACAAATGTATATGTATAATTTATAGTTAGATCAATGTTATCTATCACTCGATTTATTTATCTATCGCGACTGTTTCCACCGTAATGTGACTTCGATCGTTGCGAATTAGTTACCTATGAGATATACGGATCAGTTATGCTATTAATATCGGGATAATTAATATATATGAGTTTACAAATACATCACACATATAGAAATGATAGATATATGGAGATAAGCCTAAAATCCCCTGTCATTGTAGAAATCTTTTGTTCCATATATGGGATAATAATAGTATAATATCAGTAATCTACATTTGCTGATACGAAGAATTGTATTTAATCCATACAAATATCTTCATGGAAATTATGTAACTACGAAACTGTTGGTTTTGCGGAGTGCATAACCTTTTTAATGGCTTACAAACTTCCCTCCGCGAAAGATTTTAGAGCTTCTTTCTTCTCTATTCGTTCAACCCATTCTGGCTCTTTTAACAAGGTACTTTCAAGGATTTTGTTAAATACTCGGACCTCAGGAACGGCCAAGTTTGTCTGTGCGGATGTTATTTTACGACCACTTTGCAGCAATCGTAGATCTGTTATTTTTGAGGATAAAGCTTTCACGATTTTTTCACGATTTAGAAAATGTTTCAGCTATCCAATGACTCGCTTAATACACATTTAATCCTTGGCAATAGGTCACTTCTAATTCATTAGTATTTGAGACTAATTAAATTACAAAGTATAGGACAAAAAATCTACCTGAAATAATGTATTTACAAAAAAGCAGTATGGAAAGTTCAAATATTATTTAAGCGCACGTATAATAAATATTGGTTTTAACATTACGTATATTGAATGATGTTATGAAACTTGATATATATATATCAAAAATTATTAGATTACAATATAAAATAATTAATAAATATTATATATAATTCTTTTCTGAAAATGTTACAAAATGCGATATTCTATTCTAGCCTATAATTCTATATCCATATAAACGGGAATTTAATACAAGAGATCGTATTTTTTCATTATAATTGCCTTCGACTTTTTGATCGCACTCGGACGGTAGACGGTAGATGTTTAATTGTCAAAATTTGGTTACTACGTGCGTACGTGGCTCTCGACCGTTTAATCCCGCGAATAGCGGATTTAGGTATATAAATTCCGTTTGCCGTGTACGTATGAAAACGTGATTCACACAAACGTGAACTACCCTCGCACGTGTCTGCGTACGTGTGCAAATTTGATCCACCCTTCAAGTTCAGTACGTGGTAGGTGTCAGACCGTGATCCTTTATACGAAGATTATCCAACGTAGGAAGTTCTAATTACTATCAAGGTTACGTCGTCGAATAATCCGTATGATGGTGCGAAGTATCCGTCCTTAACTAAATCTCATGTCGAAAAATACGAGATGGCTAGAGAACCTGCAAGTTTGATTAAAAGGATGCGCTACAAATGCTGAAGCATTGAATATTAAATTCCAATGTTGAATTTCTATAAAACAAAGAATTATGAAACATTATATTGAATATTATAATATTATCGTATTATTTTATGAATTGCGTTTGATAATGAAAATCATTTCTTGTTATTGTATATTGCATATTGTTCTCATTGATAACTTGTAATTTGAAATACATATGTATATTTATTGTATTTTTTTTAAATGACACTTTGTGCTTGAAATAATACTAAAATTTAAATGAGATAAATGTTAAATTAACCTATATAATAAAGTATTTAAGTTTCTTTTTAATAAAGAATGTTCTTCAAAAGAGTTATATGAAGTATAACAATAACTGGAATGTCAAGGTAAGGCATTGTGAAGAAATTTATGTTTGGCATAGATGGCTGAGAAAATCTACAATCTTATATTCATCGAGAAAATACTGTATTCGAGTACGAAAAAGATAGAAAACTAGTTTTCTAATCTACTTTTTAACTAATTTTTCTTATAACATTTTTTTTTAGTACAAATTGATTGATATGTAAATGAAAGCTGGAAAATTTGTAAACCTCCAAATAATGGTACTAATAATCTGAATGGATGCATTCGTGCTATGTAATGAGAATTAAGACGCTTTTAAACAAAGAAGCCTTTGTTATACTCCGCTACGTTATTTCACGGTGCGTTGCAACATTACTGAGCATTATTTAGCCATGTAACGTTACAAACGTGCCGTGTTGTTGTAGCGCGATATTATGGTGCTAAAGTTAGAGAAATTAATAGTGTGTCACAACTTTGGTTTAATCCTTGTGCTGTAAAAATGTGCAACTTTGTTAACTAAGCAATTAGCTCGCATATCCGAGTTTTATAATTCTAGGTGCATTTCACAGTTATATTAGAATACAATTCGTTATACATATAAACCATGCATGTCCACCATCAAGGGTAGTTACCGTTGCTATTTTGCTCCTATTTAATTTAACTATGATACGCGACAAAAAATAAAATAAAAGAATTATATCGTATGATTGCAGTACGCTATAAAAATTATTATATTACCTCTTCATGTATACTGGTAGCTTTTAAAATTTAGCGCAACTGGAAAGCTACAATAAATCATGTCGTACATACGTATATAAATTAACGCGATACGCCATTATCGAGAACGAAAGAAAAGAAGTATTTAAGTAGAAGCTTTGTGAGATTTTGTCGCGTGTGAGAAAGTACGCCGATAACGTCCAGTCAGGTGCGCGTTATCGAGCGGTGAGTAACAGTCATAGTTATGGATATTAAATTACAATGCAACGCAATAGAGAACGAACTATGCTGACGAATTCCATGCACATGCAACGCTAATGCATAGAGGCGCTGGAATGAGGGGGACGAGAAACTTGTCACACGCGTGTAAATAAGGCGTAATGTATGGAGCTTACCGTGAGGCTGCGGACCCGGGGATTATCCCCTGCGCAAGCCACACGCAACCCTTTCCCCGTAAATGGAATGCAAAGTACATTCGAGCGTAAATCATGCGATAGAAACGGCCGGTAAACCATTGCTCGTGGCGCCGGTCGGCGCGAATCGAGAAGATTGTGACAATGATTCAACGCGAGTTTATGGCACTCCGTGTAATTAAGTCGTATCCGACGCTGGTATTACGCATGCAAACGCCGGTTGAATTCGCGTTCACACATCGTTGCCGTTGGTGAATATATATATATATGTAATCGGATCCTGGAAAACTTCATTGCAAGTTTCTTCCGCGTGCTAACTCTCGTTTCGTTTATTTTTTTTTTCTTCTTCCGTTCGTTCCGTAATTCGCCACGTACGCAGCGTGGGTTAATTTTTCGCTGAATGCGAGAGAAATTACTACAAGCGCGTTACTACGTGACGCAACTGCATGCCAATCTATGTCTTGTCCACATTGTAAAACAAATATTCAGATGTCAAGATTTCATACCGTATGGTACGATTCTTCATTTTTATTCAGGCATTTGCTGCACACAAAATTCATGTTATAAATGGCGTTTTATTGTCATTGTCACTATTATACAAATTTCTTGAATTTATTTTATTTGATACTACAATAATAAAAATATATGCAATTGAACACAAATTAGAGAGAAGTATATATTTGATATTTACTATTATGTCAAATTTCTGTAGATATTTTCATGTAAAATATTTTTAAAGTACCTTTTCTTTCTCGTGATCTTCCCGGTGAAATTTTAGAATTCGATAAATTACAGTGACATTTTTATGTGTGACGTCGACGATATCGTATCAGACATTAAAGTCTAGCACAGTGAACGAAGTCGCCGGATAAGCCTGCCTTACGACTGATCCTTTTTTCATGCCAGTACACTATCTCGCCTGTTAACTTACGTTCCTTTTTCTTCTTTTTTGTAACAGGTGGTGACGAACAGACTTGTGAGAACAGCGAGGATACTTCCTGTAAAATTCACTGAGAGGTGAGTGTACGCACAATTTTTAATTTCACGAACATAACGAGGCCGTAATTTATAAAGGCCTTCTCTCGACCGCCTAGGATTTTAACGAGGGCATTAAAGTGGTTTCAAGTCGCTGCGTATCTCGAACGAATTACGTACACCGTGGAGTTTTTAAGAGCTGCGAGAGAGTATTTTTCGTTGGGCATGACGCGCTTCTCCGCGTAAAACCTTTAAACTGCGTTATTAAATCTAGCGTTGTTCTGTAAAATATGACTTTTGCAGTAACGGGAGTGAAACAAACTTCGACAGGAATAATAACTCTTAGCGTTACTCACCGCGTTTGTGAAGAAAATCTTTTACGTCTTTTACAACGCTTTTTGCTTTGACGTTCACATTGAGAAATGAATTTCTCATATATTAATGATTGTCTGCCAGTTACTTTTATAGTAAATTTGATTACATTTACGTATACATTATTTAGAAATTATTTGAAATTTTACGCTCGTACTTCTTAAAGTAGCTTAAATATGTGTCAGCTATTATAAAATTTATGTCACTCTTTGCCATATTCTCGTAATATAGTTGCACGATACCTGTTAGAAATTACAGTCTCATTAATGAAGTCACATTTTAAATTAAAAATTTCCTTTAGATAATATATTCTTGACGTCATTAAGGAATGGCGAGAAAAAGTTCGACAAAGAGCCTAATGTACAGACTTGAAAGAAAGAAGTAAATTTTCCGAATGCTGTCTAGAAATTAACCTAGTTAAAAGTATCAACCAAATGCAAATTACGATTTTTGTCCATCTTTAACGAAGTATCACAGCTTCGACAGTGGTAATACAGCGCGACAGAATTTTGAAGATAAATAGAATCGACTATATTTTCAACGATATATCATATTCATCTTTTTTCTTTAGTTAACCCGTACTGAGCATTACACTTTTAATGAAATTTTTATGTTTTCATTACTAAGACTCGTTTAAAAGCGTACTCAGTATTCATATTATTTCTGCGAATGGAATTTTCTTCTACCCCCAAAAAAAAAGAATTATTCATACATAGGGAGAACGAATTTTTCCAGAAAATGTAATATTTAATACGTGGTGTAATATGCTTATTCGCTACGTGAAAATGAATTCATCGGGCCAACGTATTTTGTAGATTAATACTTTATCGATAGGTGCTTCATTTCAGAGCGTTGTAATATACGCGAACTAGCATGTTATCGAATAACGCAACCTGTATCAACGATGATACGCAAGTTTGTGTAAACATTTTGACATTGCTGAGAGTGCACAATTTCAAATTGTACAGCAACTTGAGCACGATAAGGGCAACACATCCCTTTCATTCGCAACGAATACATATATGTATAAATCAGAAATTCAAAATGGCGGATTCAGCAAGGCATCTGAATCTTCAACAACACATGCTGTTGACGCAGTCGTATCTCGCGTCTGCTATTCCCAAATGGCACCAATGGACCAAATTATCAATCACTTGCCATTAATGGTATGAACTTCCCTTGAGGCACGACGTGCACGTACGTAAAGTCTAAAGTTTTACGTTCCCGTAAAATCGACGAACATAGCAATATATTTCGAGAAGAAAATAAGATTATTGCAATTACAAAAAAATTGATTGGCAAAATAGACAGTTAGAAAATGACGTTAAAAGTATTTTTAAAATATCATTAATGTGTGTTTTTTTTTATATTACTTCCGTCGATAAATTGAAAGTTAGAAACTGCACTCGTTTTAAGTAAAATCATTGTTCAAAGTACTTGTAGTGATATAAACTTGTATTGATAATGTTTAATTTTTTATTCGCGGATAACCTTTGATTAAGGATTACGACATAGTCCTCTTCATTATATGCATGATGTTGGAACTCGCGGCAAAGGAACAGCAGTTCAAATTGTATGCAGTTACGCAATTACGAAGGTTAAGACGTTATCCTTAACGAGAATCCTCAAACTGGTCATTTAGCTCTCAGCGAAATGTTAAAGGCGATGAGTCGCGCCTTTTAGACCTTAAGGTGTTGATACAATGTCCTCTTGTAGTTTCGAATCTCATCTCTTTTCCATTCATATTATGGCACTTTGCTTTTACTGTTATTTGTCTCGCTTTGCTTCTCTTTATCTTTCCGTTTTTCTCTTTCTTTCTCTCGGTCTCTCTCTCTCTCTATCTCTCTGTCTTTTCGTTTGCTGTTACGTCGGTGTGTCGTCACTGGAAGTACAACACAGGTTGACCCATACGTTCCAACAATGCTTGTGTCGACTGGTTGCAACGACCACATTGACCATAGCTGCGACTGTAGTTCAGTGGACAACCTTGGCTTCTCGTTTGCTATTTCCTCCGCGTCTTGCCCTTTTTTGTGTGTCCTCTATTCCTCGCTGGTTGTATCTGTGTTTAGTCGTCCATGACTTTCTCTCCTCGATAATTCCTTGCCTTTTTTATTTATGCAGTTTCCGACATCGTGCGAACAGTTACGGTCGGTTGGCCAGAACGATTTCTTAGCGAATATTTTCCGGATCGATCGATACGGCGCCGGAGGTGAAATTTTGCTCTGAATTCAGTCGACCATGTTTTGGGGAAGTGTGGCCGAAGAAACGATTTGCTGAGTGTTTAGCCGCAAAATTAAAATTCGCTGCATTTGCTGTACCGTAACAATTCCTAATCGCGATATAATTAATCTGGATTTGCATTCCACGACGCGTTAATTACTCTTGCATAATTTATGTTGAACAGGATCTTGATCTTTTGACGTGAAATTTGATTCAAAGTATGAGTTTCGTTTGCCGTGACTTTATGTGTACATTTCAGGAAAGTTTCGCATATTCTCGAATAACTTCTTCGAAGTTCTTGGAAGTTTGGCGTTTTAGATAAGTAGATAAGTTGTCAATTCATTCTTTATGTGATACGTAAATCTTCATTGCACAGCAATATTGGTGAATAAGAATTGAATATGTTAATGTCTTCAAAAAATGAACGGTATGAGCAGAATGTAAAGCGTATCTAGTTTCGAAATTGTATCGAAATATTAAATATGTCCTTGCGATATATTAGTCGTTTAATAGCATTTTACTTTATATGCAGCGTGAGATGCATTCTGAAATATACAAACTTATTTTATTGCGCTACGAGGAGCGGAATATATCGTCGAACGAATCTGAAACTAATGTAATAATAAACAAATTTACGTGCTTCTGGGTAACAAATTAGCTACCAATTATTGCTTTATTATAAACTTCTAATAAATTCTCTCGCCGCGGATTTAGAAAATGAGAAATTCGAATTTCGAGTTTAGATGCTTCATTATCCTGACACGAAAGTTTAATCTGAAAACACCACCGGGCTTTAATATTCCGTTTTGTCGATTTGCATAATCGGAAAATTTATTTTCAGTACGCTATTATTGAAATTCGTACAGAAATTAAAACTTTATTACTCTCGGAAAAAGAGAGGATATTAAATATCTATTTTATTGAACGATTTAATTATGTTGCCATTTACTGTTTATTACTGTTACTGACGAGACATGTCATAGCAGTTCCATAATTTTGCTTTTTATTTTTTTGCCAAGAATATTACATGCACTATACAATTAGCTAACATCGGCAAAAGTGTTTTGATTGTTGCATGCAAATTATTTAATCTTTTTTAAATAAAAATGTCAATAATTGTAATAATGATTTCGTTTAAAGGATTTTGTTAAGTCTAATATTAAATAAAGATATGAGGAACGAAGTATATTTTTTTAATAAAAAAATTGATTTATTATTTTTATTTTAAAATACGATATAACAATGTCATTATGATTTGCTGCTAAAACTTCCTCATACCTTTGGCTGTCAAGGTAGATCATGGATAGACGTCTCGAGTAACAAAGCCGTCTTCGAGAAGGTTTCGTTGACGCCAAGATCGGCTTGGCTTTCATCACTTCGCTTTTCTGCAACGACAAGAAACTCGAATACCATATTAATAAATGCAGCATGACTTTACGCGCTGATAACGATACGAGGTTGAATATAAAATTTTTATCTCTGAAATATAAATTTGATATTTGATCCTTTTTTGACAGAAAAACTCAAAGTACTGCAAAATATGCTTGACGGATTTAATATTGTAACTTTGTGAAATAAATGCGGCGATCCTTCACTTTAGGATGAAATCTTGATCACTTCTTCCTGTGATCTAATCGGTCGTTTTTCACGCGTTTATATGTATAGTTGAATTAAATTCCAGATAATGCGCTGTAAATTTGCTGGCCTTGCCGTACGTCGTCGCGTCGTTTGTTCGTCCGGCGAATTTATCGTCCGCATTAATTTGACATTTAATTTTCCGCGACGCGCATTCCGGTGCTTCCGCAATTCTCCGTGATGCGCTCGAAGTGAAACGTTGCGCTTCAGAATTATTCGCTAGCGATTTCGTCGCCGACAATTTGTTTGTCGTGCAATTTCGTCCTGTCGTATTACCGATATAATTGGCCGGAATTGCCGTGATATTGTCTAAATCTGAAGGTTGATCAGCCTGACACTTTCATTTATTGGAATTCTTTCTCGAGCGTTTTTAGATATCGGACGACTGACCACACTGTTGATTGTATTCTTAAATGCAGAAATATTTATCACTTGAGTAGTCATTGTAAAAGTTCACAGTAGAAACTGGATCGCAGATATCATTTATTATTTATATCTTTTATTTGCGTAGGCTGAATAATTGCAAATACAGATAGCAAATGATGCTTTTTTTTGCAAAATATTTTATAAAAGAATTTTTATTAATAGATAAATAAAAATTAATATTACGATTTTATAATTAATGATACGTAGATCATTAATATATAAATATAATATATTAAATATAATAAAAAAGATGAATAAAAAAAAAGTAAATTGAATATATTTATATATAATATTTAAATATCAGTTTATTAATTGAAAACTTGATTGTATAATAATACGTCAACAATGCATTGCAATAAAGGGAGAGTATTAGTCAATCTCTTTCGATC